CATCGCTTCATCGCTTCATCGCTTCATCGCTTCATCGTTTGTAAAATCGGCTGGTGTGCGGCGGCCTTAAGTCGCTCTATCTAATCTAACCAGAGAAATGTGTTCTGACCACCTAACGGGCATGGACTAGTATAATTATATAGTGGTTAATCCACTGCGCACAGCTCCTGTATTATGACATCACGCATAGAACAAAACTATCAGTGCGCATTGGTAGTTGTGAATGGCGGAGGCACCTATAGGTGTTCTCTTGTCACTATTTAGGGGGTATTTACTCGTGCGTGCGTGCGCTCGAGTGCGTGCGCGCGTTCGTGCGCGCGTACATGCGTTCGTGCGTACGTGCATTCGTGCGTGCGTACGTGCGTGCGTGCGTGCGTGCTTGCGTGCGGGCGTGCGTGCGTACGTACATGCGTGCATGCGTGCGTGCGTGTGTGCATGCGGGCGTGCGTGCGTACGTACATGCGTTCTTGCGTGCGTGCGTGCGTGCGTGCGTGCGTGCGGTAATCTGGGAGACTTTACCTGTGTCTCTGCGTACGTGCGTGCGTACATGTGTGTGTGTGTGTGTGTGTGTGTGTGTGTGTGTGTGCGTGTGTGTGTGCGTGCGTGCGTGCGTGCGTGTGTGCGTGCGTGCGTGTGTGTGTGCGTGCGTGTGTGTGCGTGCGTGTGTGTGTGTGTGCGTGCGTGCGTGCGTGCGTGCGTGCGTGCGTGCGTGCGTGCGGTACTCCGGGTGACCTTACCTGTGTCCGTGCGTGCGCTTTAGAATTAGAGAGAGAAATAAAGCTCACAGAGGTTGATGTGATTTATCCTATCCTCTCTATCCTCTCTCTAGATTACACAAGTACCACAACCCACCACTAATTGTGCCATGAGTCGACAGATCGTCACCTGTCCTTCAGCCGTATATAGTCGTATTAATTATCCGTATTATTAATTAATATCCGTCAGATAATTAGTTCTATAGTCGATATCATTAGCTCTGCTAGCGAGTGTAAGTTAATTGTATTTGATTAAGATCTTTTATTGGCTTAGACATGAGCTCTGGTAGTGTATAAGATATAGTCGGTGTGCGTGCGTGTGCGTGCGTGCGCGCGCGTGTGTGAGAGAGGAAAAGTAAGAGTGAGTGTGTGTGTGTGTATGTATGTGTGTGAGTGTGAGTGTGTGTGTGTGTGTGTTGTGATGTGGTGGTGCTGTGTGGGGTGTGAACGAGGAGAGAGACGAGAGGGAGAGAGTTGAGTTACGCCGTTGGCGTACACGCGCGCGCGCACACACGCACACGCACACACATCATCATCATCGTCATCATCATCTTTCAAATTTTACCATCTACATATATCTACATTTATGCATCTCCACATCTACATATCTCTCTCTCTCTCTCTCCATCCACAGGGCTTCACCATCGTCAGCGTCAGCGTCATCGTCATCGCCATGTGTCGGACCACCCTGATCGTGTTCTCGGCTCTCTTCGCCGTTTCCTTCACGCATGTGAACGTCAACTGCTCTGCCGACTGATGACGTCAGGTCGAGCTACGCAAGTAAGCAGAAGACGTCGGCACGCCGACTGCAGCGGTGACGTCAGTAGTTATGCTACTAGTGGTCGTCCGCCGACCACTTCTCTCACCCTCGAACTGCCCGAGCGCGCTGCAAATCGTGTAGAAGCGTCGAACGACCGACGTTGGTGGATGATGACTGATCGACGATGTTTATGACGACGACTCCTCAGTATGGCTGCAACTCCTCCTTTGCTTCTCGTCTTTCTCTCTCGTGCCTCGAATCATTTTTTCTGTTCGCGGCACAAGATCGCATCTGCGTGCTCTCACACTCTTCCATCAGGCTCATTCGCTCTATCGTCTCTGCATACTGCATCTTTCTCATTCCCCCTCTCTCTCAGTCAGGGCATCTTCCTCTCTTCTTTCTTTCTTCTTTCATCTCCCTCTCTCTCTCCTCTCTGGCGTGTCTTTTTTCTTCTATCTCTCTTTCTCTCGTCTCGCTCTCTCTCTCTCTCTCTTCCCTCGTTGTCTTTTTTATTTTCTTTCCTTCTCTCCTAATCTATCTAGCCTCGCTCGTCCGACGCTCTCTCCTCTTCTCCTCACAGGGTCTTCTAATCATTAATCGTAAGATGTAAAGAGCTTATACGGTTCGACGGTATTAGATCGCTTGAGAGAGATTTTTTTAGCATTACTGTAATGAGCAGACATGAGCTGGCGTTAACCCCCGACACATAATACACGGTAACTGGCCTACGAAAGGTACGGTGTATGTGTCCAGTGTGTGCTGGTGTGTGTGTGGTGTGTTGTGTGTGGTGTGTGTGGTGTGTGTGGTGTGTGTGTTGGTGTTGTGTGTATGTTGGTGTGTGGTGTGAGTGTGGTTCTGTCGCGTGCGTCGCCGTTGTGTGTGTGTGTGTGCGTTTTTGCTGTGCTGTGTGCGTCGGCTTGCTGCGCGTGTGCGTGTGTGCGTGTGGTGCGTGTTGTGCGTGTATGCGTGTGTGCGTGGCGTGGGTGCGTGTGTGCGGTTGCGTGTGTGCGTGTGTAGTGTGTGTGCGTGTGTGTGTTGTGTGTGTGTGTGTGTATCGTGCCTGTGCTTGCGTGCGTGTGTGCGTGCGTGTGGTTGTGGGTGTTTTTAATGCTGTGCGTGCGCGCGCGCGCGTGCTTGTGTGTGTGTGTGGTGTGTGTGTGGTGGTGTGTGTGTGTGTGATGTGTATGTAATTGTTGTGTGTTTGAAGAGCACTGGAAGTTCTCCCGTCAGCCGGAGAGAATGTGGGTCATGAAGGTAATCGCTCTCCTCACGCCGCTAATACCTTAGTTTGTTATCTCGATGTGTCGCTTTTAATATACATCATATATGCACATCAAACATACCTGCTATACTAGGGAGAGAGAGAGAGAGAGCTAGAGAGGGGGGAAGAGAGCGAGAGGGAGAGAGAGCGAGAAGAAAAGAGAGAGAGAGGGGAGAAAGAGAGAGAGAGAGAGAGGGAGAGAAAGAGAGAGAAAGAGAGAGAGGAGCAGAGAGAGAGATAGGGGGGAAAGAGCGAGAGGAAGAGAGCGAGAAGAAAGAGGAGAGAGAGGGAGAACAAGAGAGGAGAGAGAGGGAGAGAAAAGAGAGAAAGAAGAGAGAGCAGAGAGAGATGAGAGAGCGAGAGGAGAAGAGGAGAAAGGGAGAGAGAGGAGAGAGAAGAGAGAGAGAAGAGAGTGGGCGAAGGGAAAGAACTGAGAGAGAAGAGAAGAGGAGAGAGCGCGTCGACGAGAGAGAGAGAGAGAGGAGAGAGAGAGAGAATAGTAAGACGAGAAAGAGAGAGAAGAGAAGAGAGAGATGAGAGGAAGGAGAGAAGTAGGAGAGAGGGAGAAAGAAGAGAGATGAGAGAAGAGGAGAGGAGAGAGAAAGAGAGAAAGAGCAGAGAGAGAAGAGAGGAAAGAGAGAGTAGATGAGTGAGCAGAGAAGAGAGAGAGAGAGAACGAGAGGCAAGAGAGATAGAGAGAGAGAGAAGAGAGAGAGGAAAGAGAGAAAGAACAGAAAAGAGAGAGAGGGAGAGAGAGATAGCAGAGCGAAAAGAGAGAGAGAGAGAGAGAGCGAGAGAGAGAAGCCGCGAGAGACGAGCGGAGAGAGAGAGAGTGACGAGAAGAAGAGAGATGAGAGAGAGAGAGAGAGAGAGCGCGAGAGAGCGAGCCGAGAAGAGAGAGTTGTGACAGAGAGGAGAGAGAGAGAGAGAGAGAGAGTGAGAGAGAGAAGAGGAGAGAGAGAGAGTGAGAGAGAGAGAGAGAGAGAGAGAGAGAAAGAGAGAGAGTGAGAGAAGAGAAAGAGAAGAGAGGTGAAGAGAGAGAGAAGAAAGAGAGAGAGAGAGAGAGAGAGAGAGAGAGAGAGAGAGGAGAGAAGAGAGAGAGAGAGATGAGATGAGAGAGAGAGAGAGAAAGAAGAGAAAAGAGAGAGAGAGAGACGAGAAAGAGAGAGAAGTAGAAGAGAGAGAGAGAGTAGAGCCCCGATAAGAGGTAAGAGAGAGAGAAGAGGAGAAGAGAGAAGGAAGAGAGAGCAGAGAAAAGAGAGAGAGGAAGGAGAAGAAGAAGAGCGACGCAGAGAGAGAGAGAGAGAGAGAGAGAGCAGAAGAGAGAGAGAGAGAGAAGCGAGAGTAGCGAGCGAGAGAGAGAGAGTGAGAGAGGAGAGAGCAGAGAGCAGAGAGAGAGAGCGAAGTGTAGAAAGAGAGAAAGGGGGGAGAGAGAGAGAGCAAGTGAGAGAGAGAGAGAAGGAGTAAGAGAGCGTACGAGGAGGCGAGAATGAGAGATAAGAGAGTAGAGGAGAGAGGGAGCGGAAAATGGAGGCGGATGAGACATATAAGCCTAAAAGCGACGAACAATTTGAGAATTACTTGCGCGATTACTGCCGTTACATTATATGTGTGCGTGTGTGGGTTTATGCGTGCGCGTGCGTGGGTTTATGCGTGCGCGTGCGTGTGCGTGTGTGTGTGCGTGCGTGTGTCTGCGTGTGTGTGTGCGTGTGTGTACATGTGTGTGCGTGCGCGCGTGCGCGTGTGTGCACATGTATGTGCGTGCGTGCGTGTGTGTGTGGAGCCATCTAACACTGATTCTGCTGTCGACTCGCAGGGCCATGGAACAGCTAGCGTTAAAGAGATCGCGGTTACTGGCACTGCAGCAGCTACTGAAGGAACTGGACAACTCATACGAGACTATACAGTAAGTGCCTCACCCCTCACTCTTCACTCCGCACGCTTCACGCTCACCCATCACGCCCATGTTAACGACCTCCTCCCCATGTTAACGACCCCTGCCTTATGTTAACGACCCCCTCCCCATGTTAACGACCCTCTCCGTTATGTTAACAACCCCCTCTCTTATGTTAACTACCTCCTCCCCTTGTTAACGACCCCCTCCCCATGCCTACGACCCCCTACCCCCTAATATTGGCGCCGTCACGATATCAGTCGCATATACGATTTAATTCCTTCAATGTCCGCCTTAATTTCAGTCGCAACCGATCTCGTTTCTCGATTTTGAAAAAAAAACGCACGCGATCTTTTTGGTGCACGAACGGATCGCGTGCGATTTGAACTCTACTTGAACCCGACGTAACCGCATCTCTCGCTCATTGATTCGCACGCGCCTTCACACGCAAGTGCGCACACGCCTCATATAGCCGGTGACTGTGTATGTGACGCAGAGCATATCTTCGGCTGCGGCGTGTGTGTGTGGGGTGGGGGGTGGGGGTGCGCGCGCGGGTCGGTGTGTATGTGTGTGTGCGCGCGCATGTGTGTGTTTGTGTGATGACTGTGTAAGGATTTACATTTATTTTAACTGTTACCTTCATTATATATGCTTTTATTTCGTTTATTCCCACCCCCCACCCCAATGGCAGGTTGTGTAATCAAGAAATTCCTGTAATTAACGGTTATGTACAGTTATCAGATTTTTAATTGAATTTTCTTCGAAATCTAGTGGCAGCTGCCAATTCGTTGTCAGGCCGTGGTTCTGGGTCATGCAGTATTGTCAACAAATCACAAACTTGTGACAGTAACGTGGGTGGACGTTTACCTAATTGCACGTTGTCACACTTGACGATGTGTGTGTGTGTGTGTGTGNGTATTAATATAGGCGCGCGCCCGCCCTATATTAATATCACAACACTCGAGCTTATACATTAGTGATGGTAATACACTCCAACCTGCTGCGGCTGCCAGTGCAGCTTCATTTTAATCACAGTATGCACACACATAGGTGCGCATACACACGGGCACGTATACACACACGCACGCAAGCATACATATAGGCGCGCATACACACTCGACGTACACGCATACACACGCGGACAGATAAAGAGAGAGAGAGAGAGAGAGAGAGAGAGAGAGAGAGAGAGAGAAGAATAAATATCGAGATATATGATAGACGAGAGAGGCACACACACACAGATAGAAGCCACGAGGAGCATTATGCTACCTGCTCGGGTAAGACATTACCTGACCAGCAAGCAGACATAGTAAGACGTCAACACCTGACGGAGTATACACGTGTGGCCTCATAACTGCGTCAACGATGCGACTACGGCCTGTAAAGAGAGATTCAAGATGTTATGATTACGTATATACGCGAGGAAGGAATGAGAAGTGATCTTGCATATCGAGAGCGCCACCATTCTCTCCTCCTCCCCGTCCCTCCCCTTGCTAATCAAGAAGTGATCGCAATATAAGATCGCACAACATGTTCTGCTAGCATCTATGACAAATACGACATTAACGAGATATACGCTCGCCTAATGACAATATTTGTCATAGGAGCATTCTTTCTATGACAAAATTGCGAATTCCACTTCGTTCCGCCTTTACAGCTGAAATTCAACTGCTTGCGTTCATAATATCGCTCCTAAACTCCTATCATGCGCAACAACACCATACAATAATATTTGTCATAGGAGGAATCTTCCTAATGACAAAATAGTGTCACAGGAGAGCGTATATGCTATGTCGAATTTGTCGATGCTAGCAGAACAGGCTGGAGAGCATCACCTTTCTTCCTCCTCCGCAGCCTCCCTCCCCTTGCTAATCAAGAACACGTGGCCTGCTGTCACCATAAGTGCCTGGGCGTCATAAATAAATTGAACGTAAATAAATAAAATTATCGATCATAAATAAAATATAAAATAAAATAAATAATTAATTAAATTAAATAATCGATCATAAACAAATCGAATAGTAATGCGTTAGTTAACATATTAGAGCAAGAGCCGAGAGTTGTGGTTGGTGAGATACATTCGTAGCGCAATCACGCGATGAAGTACAAAATGTCGTAAACTTTGTGACGAGTGAAGCGTTTTTTGAAGTGCGCGAGACTTCTGTTATTTTAGGCTTCACATGGTAACATTGCAATATATATATATATATGCTCGTTATATATATATATATATATATATATATATATATATATAACAAATTCTAAAATTTAGGGCGAATAGGCGTTCAAATTTAGAATCAGCGAGCTTTTCGAGACGTACAATCTTTTCCTCAGGCTTTCAGCTGAATTAGATCGACCGTAATTAACAAACAAAATACATACACACACATATTATAATATATATAAATATATATATACTATATATTGTAATATACTCGTTCTACTCGCAATGAGCTCCCTTCCCACACTCTCACCACGCCTAATCTATCCACGTTTTTGCTGAGTTCCTATGTCTGAGTTCGTTAAACTTGAAAGAGACAGTTAGGCAAGTTGGCGAAACTGTCGTTTCAAATATCCTTGGATATCCGTCAGAAAATGAATTACAATCCAAATAATATTTTAATATACTTCCCATGTTCGCAACTTTCGAAAACCATCACTCCCCACCCTTCCCCACCCCTCCCACATTTCCCCACCCCTCCCCCACTCCTCCCCCACCCTCCCCACCCACCCTTCCCCCACCCTCCCCACCACCCTCCCCCACCCTCGCCCCACCCCTCCCCCACCATTTCCCACCCCTCCCCCACCCCTCCCCCAAAATTTCGCGGCGGTCGGTATGCACATAGCCACTGGGCGCACTGGCAGCAAGCACAAGTCCGCCACCTTGCAGCTACAGCACAACACGCATCTATTGACATATATAACAATAATTATTGTATATTATAGTCAATTGTTTTATAATAAGTGTTATAATAGTAGTTATTATATTATAGCTAGTGTAGCTAGTATATTATAGTAAGTGTTGTTATATATAGTCAATAGATGCCGTGGTGTGCTGTGCTTGCAGGTGCGCGACTTGTTCTTTGCTCTGCGAGGTGACTGGGTGCGGAAATCCGCCAGCAATGTCAGCCGCACCGCGCAGGTGTTAGACAGGTGCAATTATCATTGTTCCCCACCCTCAAGGCAACAAGAATTCCCGCTAGTTGCTAGGCGTTCTATACCGAATGATGCAATCATGCTCCGATTGTAGCGACACCTGTTTGCCCGTGGCGTTCGATAGCCGCTGCCTGTCGCGTGCCACGCGGATCGTGGAGGCAATTTCCGGTAGCCGATTCACCGGAAGCCGTGTAGCACCCACCGTGAGGTCGATTACCGTGACGAGTTTCTGTTGTTCGTAGGGGAGTGCGTATCTGCGTGCGGTCGGGGGGGCCGCTGCGGGTGGGCGTGCGTGCGGTGGCGTTGCGCTGCGTGCGGTGCGTGGTGCGTGCGTTACGCCGTGCGTGCCGTGCCGTGTTACCGCGTGCATGCGTGCGTTGCTGTAGCGTGCGTGCGTGCGTGCGTGCGTGCGAGTGCGTGCGTGCGTGCGTGCAACCGTCGTGCGTGCCGTGCGAGCGCTACAACTCTGGCCCTCTCCTTATCGTCGCATCCCCTCGTATTACAGGAAGCGCACGTGCCTCATGAACGGCGGAATGTCGCACTCGTGCGACTACAGCGAGATGTCGCCGGGCAGGTGACAAGATGCGATACTGACGCAGCGCCATCAGCCGGGTAGGCGACGCCGGCCCGCCGCCTGCGCCGTCCAGCCACGCGGCCCCCTCAGCGACTACTGCAGCTGCCTCAGCGTTCGCATCCTAATCACAGCGTGAGTTAGTGCGTCATCACAGGTGTGTTAATGATAATTACAGGTGAATTAGTGGTCATCCCAGGTGTGTAATAATAAGTTACAGGTGAGTTAGTGGTCATCACAGCGTGTTTAATTGATATTACAGCGTGAGTTAGTGGTCATCACAGGTGTGTTAATAATAATTACAGGTGGAGTTAGTGGTCGATCACGGGCTGTGTTTTAATGATAATTACTAGGCTGAGTTAGTGCGTCATCACAGTGTGTTAATTGATAATTTCAAGCGTGAGTTAGTTGTCAATCACAGGTGTGTTCATGATAATTTACAGCGTGAGTAGTGGTCAATCAACAGGTGATGTTAATGATAATTACAGGGGGAGTTAGTGGTCATCACAGGTGTAGTTTAATGATAATTACAGCGTGAGTTAGTTGCGTCATCACAGCGTGTGTTAATGTATTACAGGTAGGTTATGGTGTCATCACAGGCTGTGTTAATAATAATTACAGCGTGATTAAGTGGTCATCACAGCGTGTGTTAATGATAATTAGTTAGGTGATGTTAGTGTCATCACAGGTGTGTTAATTGATAATTACAGGTGAGTTCAGTGGTCATTCACAGCGTGCTGTTAATGATAAATTATAGGTGCCAGTTAGTGAGTCATCACAGGTGTGTTGATAGTAATTACAGGTGAGTTAGTTGTTCACAGGTGTGCTTAATGATTTACAGGTGAAGTTAGTAGTCATCACAAGTGTGTCTAATGATAATTCAAGGTGGTTAGTGGTCATCACAGGTGTCGTTAATGATAATTATAGACGCTGAGTTAGTTGTCATCACAGCGGTGTGGGGCTAATGATAATTACAGGGTGAGTTAGTTGTCATCACAGCGTGTGTTAATTGATAATTATAGGTGAGATTAGTGGTCATCACAGGTTGTGTTGATTATAATTACAGGTGAGTTAGTGGTCATCACAGCGGTGTGTTAATGATAATTACAGGTGAGTTTAGTAGTCATTCACAAGATGTGTAATGATAAATTACATGTGAGTTAGTGGATCATCACAAGGTGTGTTAATGATAATTATACGGTGAGTAGTTGGTCATCACAGGTGCGTTAATGATAACTTACAGTGTGAGATTAGTGGTCCATCACAGGTGTCGCTTAATGATAATTACAGCGTGAGTTAGTGGTCATCACAGGCTGTGTTAATGATTAATTACAGGTGAAGTTAGTTGGTCATACACAGGTTGTTAATCGATAATACAGATGATTAGTTGTCATCACAGGTGTGTTAATGATAATTATATGGTGAGTAGTGCGTCATCACAGGGTGTTGTTGATAATACATTACAGGTGAGTTAGTGGTCATCACAGGTGTGTTAATGATAATTACAGTGAGTTAGTAGTCATCACAAGTGTGCTTAATGATAATTTACAGGTGAGTTAGTGGCTCATCACAGGTGTGTTAATGATATTATTAGATCGAGTAGTGGTCATCACAGGTGTGTTATGTAATTTACAGGTGAGTATGGTCATCACAGGTGTGTTAATGCATAATTACAGGCTGAGTAGTGGTCATTCAACAGGTGTGTAATGATAATATTTACAGAGTGAGTAGTTGGTCATCACAGGAGTGCTTAATAATAATTACAGGTGAGTTAGTGTTCATCACAAGTGTTGTTAATGATAATTACACGTGAAGTTAGTTGGTCATCACAGGTGTGTTATATGCATAATTACAGGTGAGTTAGTGGTCATCACAGGTGCTGTTAATGATAATTTACAGGTGAGTTAGTGTCATCCACAGGGGTGTTGTTAAATAATAATTACAGGTGAGTTTAAGTGGTCATCACAGGGTGTTAATGTAATTACAGGTGATGTATAGTCATCACAAGCTGTGTTAATAATAATATACAGGTGAGTGATGGTCATCACAGTGTTGTGTTAATGATAATTATAGGTGAGTTAGTGGTCATCATAGCGTGTGTGATAAATTAATTTACAGGTGGGGGAGTTAATGCGTCATCCAGGTGTGTTTACATGAGAATTACAGGTGAGTTAGTAGTCATCACAAGTGTGTTAATGATAATTACAGCTGTGAGTTAATGCGTCATCACAGCTGTGTGTTAATGATAATTCATTGGTGAGTTTAGTGGATCATTCACAGGTGGTTAATGCATAATTACAGGTGAGTAGTTGGTACATCACAGGTGTGTTAATGATTAAAATTTTAACAGGTGAGTTCGCGGTCATCACCAGGTGACGCGTAATTATAATTACAGGTGAGCTTAATGTGTCAATCACAGGTGTTGTTAATGATAATTACAGGTGAGTTGTGGTCATCACACGGTGTGTTCATGATAATTACAGGTGAGTTAGTGGTCATCAGCAGGTGTGTTAATTGATAATTACAGGTGAGTTAGTGTCATCACAGGTTGTGTTAATGATAATTACAGGCTGAAGTTAGTGGTCATCAAGGGTGTGTTAATTAATAATTACAGGTGAGTTGTGGTCATCACAATAGGTGTGTTAATGATAATTACAGGCTGAATTAGGTGGTCATCCCAGGTGTGTTAATAATAATATACAGGTGATGTTAGTGCGTCATCACAGTGTGTTAATGATAATTCAGGTGAGTTAAGTTGGTCATCACAGGTGTGTTAATGATAATTTCAGGTGAGTTAGTGCGTCATCACAGGTGTGTTCATTGATAATTTACAGGTGAGTTATGCGTCATCACAGGTGTGTAATTGCATATATTACAGGTGAGTTAGTGTCATCACAGGTGGTTTAATGATAATTACAGCGTGGTAGTGGTCATCCAGGTGTGTTAATGATTAATTTAACAGGTGAGTTTAGTGCGGCTCATCACAGTGTTGTTATTGATAATAATTACAGGTGAGTTAGTGGTCATCACAGGTGTGTTAATGATAATTACAGGTGAGTTAGTGGTCATCACAGGTGTGTTAATGATAATTACAGGTGAGTTAGTGGTCATCACAGGTGTGTTAATGATAATTACAGGTGAGTTAGTGGTCATCACATGTGGGTTAGTGATAATCACATGTGAGATAGTGATCATTACAGGTGAGCAACCATTGTCTCAGGTGAGGTAATTGTTGTAGACACGTGATATACGGGTTTATACGCTCTCTTCTCTCCCGGTTATATGTCTCTCTATATATCTCTCTCGTTCTGCCTCTCTTTCTCTCTCTCTCTTTATCTCTTTTTCTCTCTCGCGCGCGCTCGCCTTTTCTTCCTCCCTCTTCTCTCTCTCTCTCTCTCTCTCTCTCTCTCTCTCTCTCTCCTTCTCTCTCTCTCTCTTCTCTCCTCTCTCTCTTCTCTGTCTGTCTCTATATCTCCATTCTCCGCGCTTTCTCTCCATTCTGCGCTCTTTTCTCTTCCGTCTCTGACCAATCATATTGTCTCTCCTCTCTCCTCTCTCCCTCTCTGGGATCTTGTGTCTCTGCTTTTCTTCTCTCTCCTCTCCTCTCTCTCTCTCTCTCTCTCTCTCTCTCTCGTGCTCTCTCCCCTCTTCTCTCTCTATGCGTGCGCTCTCTCCCGTCCCTCTCTCTGCTTATATGTTTCTCTCTTCTCTCTCTCTCTCTCCTCTCTCTCTCTCTCTCTCTCTCGCGTGCTCTCCCCCCCTCTTCTCTCTCCTATGCGTCGCGCCTCGTCCCGTTCCCCTCTCTGCCTTATATGTTGTCTCTCTTCTCTTCTCTCTCTGCTCTCTCTCTCTCTCTCTCTCTCTCTCTCTCTCTCTCTCTTCTTACTCTCTCTCTCTTGCTTCTCTCTTCTCTTCTCTCTCTCTCTCTCTCTTTCTCGCTCTATCTCTCTGTCGCCCCATGTATACCGTATATACTGTGCTGCATAGTTGCTGGGGCGCTGTGTCGCGCCTCGCTCCTGCCTGCGGCTTATTCTCGGATGTCTCTCTCAACGCACCAGCAAATCTCATTTATCAAGCATCTATAACTACGAGTCACGGCACGCACGCGCCACCCCACGCACACACGCACGCACGCATACATACATACACACGACACCACACACACACACACACACACACCGCGCGCGCGCACACACACACACAACACACACACACACACACACACACGACACACGCACACACACACGCACCGCACGGCAGCGCATCGCACACACACACACACACACACACACACATACACACACTAAGACATAAACGCGACGCGCGCGCAGCGCGCACACACACACACACACACACACACACACACACACACACACACACACACACACACACACACACACACACACACACACACACACACACACACACACACACACACACACACACACACACACGCATACGATGCCCACTGACGCACGGGCGCCGTTCAAAGAGCCGTATATCGAATTTAACTCATTTCGGCTTAGAATTTATCGAGCGACAATTAAATTCGTATGGAGACGTTGTTTTCGGTATGCATGCAGAGCAACTATGATGTCAACACATGGCCCCCGCGCGTGTCCAGCGCACACAGTGACACACACCGATGTGTCGCACGTGTTGAATAGCGATAGATTAGCTTAGCTATTAGAGTTACTAACGTACTCTTCCACCGAGAGTTCAGCGTGATCCGCATGGGGGCGCCACGCTTCACAGAGCATCCGACACGACATCGCATGCTATCATCTTTAGAAAACCATCGACTGGCTTTAATTCGCGCTCGCCCGTTTCGTCTTTTCAGAAGACCGACGTACGCATTTTCGAATTGATTTGATATAGCGCCCGCAGCCGGGAAGATCCTGGGGAGATAAAGAGACGAAAGAGCGAGAGATAAAGGAGGCAGAGGCAAAGAAACAACGGGGGACCGAAAAGAAAGGAAGAGAAAGGGAGAGCGACCGAAAGAGGTGGAGAAGAAAGAGGAAATATAATAAGAGAGAAAGAGAGAGAAAGAAAGCGAAAGAGATAGGGGAGGGGGAGAGGGGGAGATAGACAGAAACCGTTCAGACAGGAAATTCACAGATTAAAATTCTCGATTTGTTTGTTCGATTAGGCTTTTATCGAATTTCAAATATTACAGTCGCGAGATGCGTGTGCAAGTCATAGTTGGATGTTTGATTTTAATTGATTTCCCTTCGTGTACATATATAATGATTACATATCTATATTTATTTAAGTTGTTCCGCCGTCGTTGCCGTCTGAAAACGTTTCTATCTCGATCGTATATATGCCGACGCGTTCGATTTGTGTTAAATACCGACGAATCGGCGAGCGAGTAGCAATCTCGTAGATGACGTCATTGATTACAACCGTCGCGTGACGTCACCGTGATTGTCTATCGCGAACCAGTCCTACGTTCAGTGATTGAAATAAAGGAGTATGTTTGTCTTCATTTACGTTTTACTTTTTTGTCTTCGTCGTATTTTTTTTCGCGCCGTCTTGTGATGCGACTTCTCGCGCATGCGCGCGCACGTCTTGCTCTGTTTACGCGTTCGTGTCTCACTCGCGAGGTTTTCATTACGGATTTATTTATTGCGTGTATTTTACGGCTGTATAGATTGAAATCAAGCGAAAACATATCACCGACCAAGCGGCTGATGGATTCAACTCATGAGACGACTTCTGCTGCTGCTGCTACTGCTACTGCTACTGCTGCTGCTGCCAATCCTGCTACTGCTGCTGCTGCTGCTACTGCTGCTACTGCTGCTGCTGCTGCTGCTGCTGCTGCTGCTGCTGCTGCTGCTGCTACTGCTACTGCTGCTGCTGCTGCTGCTGCTACTGCTTCTACTACTACTACTACTACTGCTGCTGCTGCTGCTGCGGGTGCTGCTTCTATTACTGTTGCTGCTGCCGCCGCGGCCGCCTGATAAATTTAAACGGTCGTTGATTCAATCGGAAACGTAAGACGTCGCTTCAGTAATGCGTTAAACATCGCGACGCTCTCGCTAATAAACCACGAGCTTCTCACACCACGCGGCCCAGTGCTGCCATGTGCCGCCATCTATCGACCACATCGACGTCAACTGAAGGACGTTTCTTTCCGAGTGGAATACATTCGGTCGAGTTGATGACAAGGGCAAGACCGAGATGATGATTATGCTGTTGTTGATGATGATGTTGACGATGATGATGATAATATGGATTTTCCTCATTATGAACCTAATTATAATTATCGACTAACGGTCATTAATATTACAACTATTCTTCAGATACTTCACAAGTTCACACTAAATATAACGACATTGTCTGTGAATGCCGGAGCGCGTCCGGACGTCGAGCTACTGGAACAATCATCTCCAGAGATGATGAGCAACTATTAAACATTAATCAAATTTTAATTTGATTTTCATCATTTATAACGAACACTGTGAATGAAGATGAATGCAGAATGAAATCGAAATTAGTGAATAACACACACGCATGAATAGAAACGAACGAACGACGGACAAGTTTAGAAACGTTTAGCATTTATTATCTTTTTAAGATGCATTGCAATTTTTCCTATCACATTATTTCTCGCATTGCCAGCCTCGTTAGCGCCACCTAGCAGATTGATTTAACACCAACATCTGCTCTGACTGGAAAACACGTCGTGTATACTAAGTATAAACAAGGCCTCTATCAACAACAGACACAGCTACCAAGGATATTAAACAGTGGCACCAAACCCCTGTAGTCATAATCCAGGCTTAGCTTTGGTTCCCACACAAGTCTACAAAAACAACAACAACAACAACAAAAACTAAAACAGCAAAAACAACAGAAGCATATCGGCCAATCAATCAATCAAACAATCAATCGATCAACCAAACAATAGATTATTAATGCATAAATCACTCAATCGACTGATTGCTCAGCAATTGATCAATCGATCAATTTTATTAGAAATCGATTAATCGATTAGCACACAATCAAAATTAATGATCTGTACGGATGCAATGCCCGACTCAAGCACATCAGTCGGCAAAAACGGAGGGAAAGCACGACAGTTAGATAAACAAATACTAGAAATTAAAGAAATGCATTGAAAAACAAGTGCCGCGGAGCGACAGCGCTCATCTCACGTCTACTGCGGTGACTCTGTGCAGGAGTGGTGAGATTCTAGTAAACCCTGTTAGTCCCAAATGTGTTCACATACGCGCCGAAACAGTGGAAGGCACAGGGCGCACTGCACAACCCTTTTGGGCGGAAGACCAGAAGGAAGGGCAAAAGGTCACAGCCTGGAGGTCAAAAGCAACAGCATATGACATTAGCAATGCTACGTTGCACACTACTACTGTCCAAGGAGCTAAATATAACAAGGAGAGGAAGCGCTGCCATATCTGGCCCAAATTTGTGTTCGGCAGAGACCCTAGAACAGATTAGTGTTCTATTGTCTCTGGGTTCGGTCTGCACAGTCGTTTCAGCTGATTATGGTCCATAAATGGCGCCCTTGAGGAGAAAAGCACACAGCCAATCTGCTTCCTCTCCTTGTTATATTTAGCTCCTTGCTACTGTCCACCTATTCCTAGCATTCACGATGCACGCATGAACACAGACACGGAAAATATGCATATCAACACGGACAATATGCCTGCAGCACTATCCGAGTGTCAACGTACGGGCGTTGTATTACATGTACGTTGTACACAGACACGCACATGCACGACACTTGCTGGAAGGACAGTAGCTATCGCTACGACGACAGGCAGTGCAGCACGGTGTCGCGGTTGCTACAACGACAGGCAGTGCAGCACGGTGTTGCGGTTGCTACAACGACAGGCAGTGCAGCACAGCGTTGCGGTTGCTACTACGACAGACAGTGCAGCACGGTGTTGCGGTTGCTACGACGACGGGCGGTGCAGCACGGTGTTGCGGTTGCTACGACGACGGGCGGTGCAGCACGGTGTTGCGGTCGCTACAATGTCAGGCAGTGCAGCACGGCGTCGTGGTTGCTAAGGAACACGTCCTGGCGCGCAAACTTCTCGAAGAACGCCATCTGCGTCAGCTGCTCGGCTAGCCGCTCCTGGCAGTGTGCCAGCAACACCGCGACACCCGCCTCCCTGTACTCCGCGGCAACGCGAGCGAGAGCGTCCGCTCCCGACATATCAACGTACGCCATCATCGAGCAGTCGATGATCACGTGACGCACCCCCGGCGCCCCCTTCCAGTCGCCGTCGCCGTCACCGTCGTCGTCATCGTCATCGCAGGAGATTGGCGTCTCCGTGGCGACGGGTTTCGGCGGCATCGCGGCGCGTTTCCGCCGCGCTTTAACGACGGCCGCGGGGTCGACGCCCGTCAGCTCGACGACGCGCGTCGCAAACAGCTCGGCGTTCGCGAAGCAGAGCGCGCCCTCGTAGCGCACGATGCGCACGCCGGGAACGTCGACCGCCGCCTTGCACGCGCGCTCGTCCCGGTAGAGGTCGCCGCCGTCGACGCGCCCCAGCGAGGCCGCGCGGCAGAACTGCGCGCGCACGACGAAGCCGGCCATCGAGAACGCGATGCCGGCGACCAGCCCCCAGTGGACGTCGACGATGACGACGCCGGCGTACGTGACGAGCCACGTCCAGAAGTCGGCGCGGCTGCGGCGCCACAGACGCGCGGGCGTCGCGTAGTTGTCGAGCGTGTTGCGAAGCGCGACGATGATGACGGCTGCGAGAACGACGGAGGGGAGGCTCTCCAGGAGCGGCCCCGCGGCGAGCAGCACGACGAGAATGCACGCGGCGGCGACGACGCTCGCCACTTGCGTCGCGCCGCGCAGCGAGTCCTGCACGATCGAGCGCGAGAACGACGCGGCGCTCGCGAACCCCCGGAACGACGCCGAGACGAGTGAACCGACGCCGAGCGCGAGCAGCTCCTGGTTCGCGTCGACGCGGTGGCCGTGACGACGCGCGTAGCTCTTCCCGATCGAGATCGTGAGAGCAAACGAGACGACGGCGATCGTGAACGCGTCCGCGGCGACGGGCGCCAGCGCGGAGGCCGGCGGCGCGCGCGGAGCCGGTATCCCCGTCGGAATATCTTCCAGGATCTTGACACCGAAACGACCCGCGAAGTCGAACGCGTACGAGAGCGCGGTCGCCGCGACGACGACGATGAAGTCGATCGGGATCGGCACTCGCAGCTTCCGGCGGTAGCGCTTGTTGACGAACTCCTTGACGAGGAACAGCACGAGGATGCTGCACGCTCCGACGACGAGTTCCGCGACGTCCGTTCCCCCGATGTTCGCGAACACGTCCACCCACGTGAGGACGAGCTTGAACGGACCGCGGCGGCTCGGAAGACGAAGCCCTAGCAGCAGCTTCACCTGCGAGGTGACGATGTACAACACCGCGCCCGTCATGAAACCTTCGACGAGCGCGTCCGACAGGTAGACGGTGACGAAGCCGAGACGCAGCGCGCCCATCGCGAGCTGGAACACGCCCACCATCATCGTCACCGCCGTCGCCACGACGACGTTCGCCGTCATCTCTCCTCCGTCCGCCGCCGCCGCCATCGCTCCGTCCTCCGTGACGTTCCACGCCGTCGCGTTTCCGTCGGCGGCCGCCAGGGGGACGACGAGCGGGGCGTACACGTCGACGACGGCGCCGGTCATGAGCGCGATGATGGCGACGGGAGCGACGCTCGCCTGGCGCGACGTTCCGAGAAGCGCGTAGACGAGAAGCGAGAAGAAACTCGCGTAGAGCCCGTGGATTGGCGCGAGGCGAGCGAGCTGCGCGTACGCCATGCCCTGCGGGATCATCAGCACGGTGACGGTGATGCCCGCGAGCGCGTCGTTCACCAGGTGGCGTCGCGGCTTGTAGCGGCGCCCCCACGCAACGCACGGCACGAGGCGTTCCACCGCGCGCAGGCCGCAGGCGCCGGCGCACGCCGCGCGCACCCCGCGCAGCGCCCTCTGGCGGAGAGAGCCGGCGTCGACGGCGGCGGGCGGCGGGTGCGAACTCTCGAAGCGCGCGAGGTTGTAGGCGGGGCGCGTGACGCTGTAGAGTGGCGCCACCTGTCCGCCGCCGTCGTCGGGTCGCAGGTCGCGGGCGAGCTCCCCGTTCTCTGCTGCCTCGTCGACGGTCGTCATGACGATGCACGTCTTCTAACGAAGAGAGAAAACCGCGTCGCAGACAATTAATTCCATCGCGATTACAATGACTGGATCGCGACATTTTCGTTTCGCGATCATGAAAGACGTGGGTGGTGTGCCAGCAAAGATGCTGTCGCAAAAGTGCTTTTTCTTTCACTCTCGATCTATAATTTTACCTCTCTCTCTCTCTCTCCCTTCCTCACTTTCTCCCTTCCACACTCTCTCTCTCTCTCTCTCTCTCTCTCTCTCTATCTCTATTTATCTGTATCTATATCTCTATCTCTACCTCTTTCTCTATCTCTATCTCTACGGTACCTCTCTTTCTCGCTCCCTCTCTCTCTCTCTCACTCTTTGCCTCTCTCTCCGTCCCCCTCTCTCCTACACTCTCTAGCTCTCTCTCTCTCTCTCTCTCTAGTCTAGCAGTGTACTATCTATGACATTATCTTTCCTGCCAATAACTGTATATTAACTGATAAGACAGGCATGCGGCGTGAGCGAAGGCGGTAAACTCTTGTCTGCACCCGGCAACACATTCCCAAATCCTCGCACCTTCACAAACTGTGACATTTCCGGACCAGCAAGTCAACTCCAGTTCGCGCAGGACTTCTGCGGCGAACGAACCCTAACGCTGCAGCCTGGCGATGGCTTTGTAACAGAGATTGCCGACCGTGAGTTCTGAGCGCATGCATACGTTAGTGATGTCACGATCATCGATTATACTCGATCATCGGTTGAACAGTGGCTCGAACCAAGCGCTTAGTGATGTCACGATCATCGATTATACTCGATCATCGGTTGAACAGTGGCTCGAACCAAGCGCTTGGATATCAAAAACCATAATCGATTTCATCGGAAAAATAAATAAAATAAAATAATCGAAATAAATGTAAAACTTGAACAAGAAAACTTGGAAAAGTGATGAGAATCAGAGATATCATCGCTACTATACAAGTTATCCTTTATTTACATACATGTATTATACACAACAGTGCAAAACAAACAGTAAACAGGGCTAAACAAGCGCATACATGCACACACGTACGTTTATTTGGGTCCAACCGATGATCGATTACGAAATTACCACCGATTGGCAACACTAGCATACGTACACGCCCCGGCGTGGTGAGAGCGATAATGCGGCAAGGGGCGAGCAAACGATAAACCCAGGGTGTGCTATACTCACGATGGCTCGAATCATCAGGGGTAAAAAATAACAAATTTGTCATTATCTACCCCTGGTATCATCACACGAGCTCCACCCTAACTGCTATGCTTGGGTGTGCTTGTGTGGAGATACCTTTTATGTTGAATTATCTACTCCTGATATAATGTATTGCCTACAGATTTATATAATGTACAGTAAAAAAGGTAAAAAAAGAAAAGAAAAAAAGAACAATAAATTTTTTTTAGTCGGCCCCTTTTTGGCGGGTCGGTCGGGTGAGGGCAAACAAACAATATTTTTATTATGGCCCAATCGGACCTGCACCAGAAACAAATGCTAAGTAATGTAAAGTAAACAAACACAGATAGCATAAATTTTACTACCGAAGTCGTAATGTTTATCTACGAGGGTTTTCTACTGTTATCCGCAGTGTTTATCTGTCAATTTGATTGACTTCGTCTCTTTCTGTCTTCGTTATAGTCCTTTGGACTTTGAAGACTAATATTTACAGGTGTTATGAGCACAGACCATGCGCTTGGAATGTTTCAATAGTAAAATAATCAAGAGCTAATAAACACCTAGAGTGTACAACGGAAGAACGGGAAAATAGTGCTATTTCACGGCAATATTATGCCGTGCCTGCTTGCCTACTTTGCCTGCGAGTTTAGAATAATTTTATAGTATTGCATTAAGCAGATTTCTTTGCTCTCTAAAACAAGACCAACCGCTTGTCAATACGATACTCCCCTTTTGCGGGTTAGGAAAGTCGCTTCGTGAGAGTTCGGTTTTTTCTGCGATAACTTTATGAATGAACGGCGTTTCGGTTATCATCCGTGACTTTCGTGGGCATCGGCTATGCCCTTATCTCCCATTATCTTTCCTAGCACGGCTAATGCCCGTCATGATGGAGCCGGCAATGTTTTCTAAATTAAGTCTCTACAACGCAGCTCAGTTACTATACATATGGTGTAGTAAGAGTACCAAATTTGGGCATGTGACATCAATTATCAGCGCTCCAAGCGGCGACGGAAAACGATAGCCAGACCCGCAAAAGGCGAGAAGGATAGTGAATATTGTGGACGCGAGGCGCCGTGCGGCATGTGGGAGGGAAAGTTTACGAGCCAATATCTCAGCCTATCGTATTTACAAGCGGTTGGTCTTGTTTTAGAGAGCAAAGAATTCTGCTTAATGCAACAGCAGCAATACCATAAAATTATTCTAGACTCGCAGGCAAAGTAGAATAATATTGCCGTGAAATAGCACTATTTTCCCGTTTTTCCGTTGTACACTCTAGGTGTTTATTAGCTCTTGAAATAATGGTTAATAAACACGAAATGTATTTACTACCAAGTTCTCTACTTTCTTTTGCGTGTTATTGCCGATAATTTCCTATAAATGCCATTCAAATGCTCCTCTGCAACACACAAGTACACCATACACATGCCGCTGCGCACAATCAACAAGAGATTATTTGATCTTGTTGATTGTGCACTTGACTGTCTACTTTTTTGTGTTATTTGTTCTTGTCGGTTGCTCTTTATTCTTGTTTTTTTGTGTGCACAGCGGCGTGTGTGCGGCATACTTGCGTGTTAAAGAGGAGCATTCGAACGGCATTTACAGGAAATTATCGGCAATAATAGGTGAAAGAGAGTACGGTACATAGAAACATTGACTTTGGTAGTAAATACACTTCGTGTTTATTTACCATTATTTTAGTGTTGTAACGTTTCACGTGCCTGTGCCTGTGGTTACAAGGTTAGTCGTTAGAACTGTAAAGATATAATAGAATCATCCTGTCACTAAACTAAAGACCAATGCTACACTGCGTGTAGCATAAATATCAAAAAAGTTGAAATATTCACTAAAATTTTCACTAAATTTGCCTACAACTGTCAAGGGCAAGAGTAGATTCTCATGTCGTTAGAAAGACTCACGTTCAGCGTAAACTTGAACACCTACATATATGATCTTCATTGATAAAGCCTGCTTGTTGCACTCGATCGGCTGAGCGTGATCACTGCTTTCGACATATGCCATCTTCTAACTTTAAGGATCCTTGTGAGTTTAGCTTCTTTGTTTCTGTTATTCCATATTGGAATTCTCTCCCTTCGTCAGGCTTTTTCTACTGCGATCCTCAGTGTTGATCTGTCGATTCGATCAACTTGTCTCTCAGTCTTGGACTTTGAAGACTATTTACCACTGATGAGCGAGTACTGGAGTAGAACGCTCGCCAACCTGTGTGTTAGTCTATGGGCGCGTTTGTTTGAGAGTGACTTTCCCGCCGGCGTAGATGGACGTCACGGTCACGTGATGTGGCAGCATTAGTGTTAGGATTAGGGTTAGTCTATAACTTAGTCTGTACCCGCCAACCCGCTAACTATACTGTTACCAGGGCACGACAAACCCGCTTGCCCGATGGCCCGGGTCAACCAAAATTCGCCCCCGGGCAAGTAGCTTGAAATTGCACTTGCCCGTTCGGGCAAGCAAGTTTTTTTTATTGAATGTCTAAACAGTAGACTAATGATATTTTTTCTGTTTCCACCCGTTCCTTGCATTGTTTTGCACAGAAGCTGCGTTGCTGCGACGAGATTTCAATAAAAAAAACGGAATGCGAATGGACAATCAGTGCACACAGTTATACTTTGTACGCAACATGCACACTGCAACATGTAAACCTGGCCCCCAGGCCAGGCATTGTCGTTACGTGATCAGCTACATCAAATGTTTGCCCCTCTACTGCAGCCTGTGAATGAGGATTTTCTTTGCTGAAGTACACAAAAACAGATACACTGTATCAGTGTTAGCGCTTTAAAATAAAAACCACTCGCCAAACTGGGCGAGTGAGTCAATAAGTTAACTCGCCCAAACGGAATCTGTACTCGCCCAAATTTTAAAACAAAAATGCTTGTCAAACAATAGTGAAAAAACACAAAAATACCATTGATTTAACTACACATTGTTCATTGACCACTTTTCTCAAAAATTCAAGGCACATCTCCTCTGAAAGTTCCTGTTTTCATTTTAATTTAATTTACTTTTATTCTCGGGCTGCTTTGCCCCATCAATGAAACACCACGTTACGCCGATTTTATTGACTTAATTGTTAACACCAAGGCCAACGTGACTTGTAAACAATCCTGCACTCCCCCCCCCCCCGTACATCAATCAATATGCCGCCCCAGGCACGTATACGTCAGGTCAGCCTACAATTTCTCATGTAATATGTGGAGGCCCCTGGTTGTGGAGGCCCCTGGCCCAGTCCCTCGCCCCGGGCTGGCTGCCAATTGTTCCTGGTTCCTTCCTTTCTGCATGCATGCATGCATGCTAGAGGCAGCTAGGCTACTTGGCCACATCTCTAATGAATGCTCTCTAAAACTACTGACTCCAACAGCACTCTCAACCCGATTACACCGTACGTATGTCTTCTCAAAGGTTAACACTCTCAGTTGGCTAATGCTGTCAATTATTCAAAGTGCATTAATTAGGAGGCTCTTCGCATAGGTTCTAAGCCCAACGTCCGAAATTAACTTTTACTCGCGTGGATTTTCATTGCTTTTCATCGAA